TTTTTGGCATTACCGGTGATTGAACTCAGGTCCTTGTGCTTGCCAGGGAAGCACTTATTCCAGTGAGCCATCTCCTCAGCACCCCCATCTCCCCTACTTTTTTTTTTTTTTTCCAGAACTGGGGATTGAACTCTGGCCCTTGCGCTTGCCAGGCAAGCACTTATTCTACTGAGCCATCTCCCCAGCCCCTGAATTCTACTTTTTGTGTGAATTTGACCACTGTTAAGTACTTCATCATAGTAAAATCATACATTTATCCTTTTGTGACTTGGACTTACTTCACTTAGTATAATGTTCTAAGTGTTTATCTGTATCGTAGTGTGTGTCAGAATTCCTTTTTATTGTTTTAAATGAGACCTCAAATTCCTTTGCAAAAGTAATATTCCTCCCTCAACTTCATGCCACTCCACCCTTAAATCTTCACCCATATTTAAGGTCTCTGTGGGCTGGAGATGTAGCTCAGCAGCAGAGGGCTTGCTTTTACATACATAAGGCTCTTGGTTCAGTTTGCTGGTGTCAGAAAAGAAATGATAAAAAGACCAGTGTTGAAGCTTAAGTTAATGAATAATTGTGAAATGTTTTTTCTGAGCATTTCTAAGTGACTTACATATTTTTGTCTTTCTATGTGTGAATTTTATCTAAATAGAGAGTTTTTGTTTTATTTATCTCAGCTGAAAGTTCCTTATTTTTGCTTTTTGGTGAGATAAGGTCTCACTATGTAGCCCATGCTGGCCTTAAATTTAGTAATGGTATAGGGCACATGAAATATGGACCAGATAATATAAGGGCAGTATAACTCCCAACCTGCTAGATACCTGAAAGACAGAATTCATGTTCCCTAAAACTGAGAAATAAATTCTAGGAACAATTAAATTTAAGAGTTGGAAAAATTTATTGAGAGGAAAAAAAAATTAAGAGCCTTGAAAAGGGGTCCAGAAAGTGGGTTGCCTGCCAACCCCTCTTCTCAAGAGTATTTGTTGAGCAAAGCTGGGAGCTGAGGTGGGCTGAAGGTCAGATAGAGCTATAATCAATATGATTACTGGCATAGGTGCTTAGGTAGTATTGATTCAATGGAAATTCACAAGGTGTGCATGAGGTGAGACAAAATGGTGATTAACCAATAGGATTAGACAAGAGATTCTCCTAGGTAATAGGTGTAGTGAGATTTGTTACGCCACCCAAGGTGTTTGGGTGCCTATTTATTTATTTAAATTTTTTTTTTTTAATTTTTTTTATTTATGTGTGTGTGTGTGTGGCCAGCTCAGCCCACCAGGGGGCAGGGCTGGCTGGCATGTGATGCTGGGGGATTGAACCATGGTCCCTATGCTTTGCTAAGCTTGTTCTAAGTAGGTGCTTTAGACCACTGAGCCATCTCACCAGCCCTGGGTGCCTATTTAAAATATCAGTCAATCATTGTTATTCATCTCTAGAGGAAGTATGTAGGTATAAATATTTCTTCTTTTTCTTGAAGGTTAACCTTCAGTGATTAAACCTCCAGGCTGCAATTGTCTTCTGTGTTGAAAGCTGATTCCTGTCTGCCTGTATTATTTAAAACTAATTAGCTTAATATACTGATTACAAAGCAAAAAATATAAAAATTTAAAAAAAAAGAAACTTGCTGAATTCACACACCTATAATATTTAAATGACAATGGAATACCCTTATCTGACAACACTAAACAAAAAGGGGGGTACAAATGAAGGACCAAGTGGTTGGGAAGATAGCTCAGTAGAATAAGCACTTGTCTGGCAAGGGCAAGGGCCTGAGTTCAATCCCCAGTTCCACAAAAAAAACCCCAAAACAATGTTGACAAATGAAGCACTATTTTGTATCTGTATATTCGAAATAGGTTAGATATATAGCTACTTTCTCTTAATTCAATGAGTAGAAAGATTTGTTCTAATAGTGTTTGTGGACAGGATATCATGTCTACATCTTGTACTATGTATGAATAATCACTAAGAAGATAACAATATGCAATGTATTAATTATTGAAACTGTCCTACTAATCGATTTTGAAACTGTCTCATTGCTATTTGTTTCTCAATAAAATTATTTAAAAAAGAAAAAAATAAATAAAATAAAACTAATTTAGCTCAGGTTGGCCTCAAACCAGGGGCAATCCTGCCTCAGCCTCCAAAACTGTGGTATTATACATGTGCATCACAATCCTCAGTTACTGTGCTTTTCAAAACTAAATAATATTCTTTTGTACAAGTATGCTTATTCCACATTTTGTTTATCCATCCATTTGTGGATGGACACAGGTTGTTTTTACAACCTCTGTTATTTTGGATATATTGTTATTTTGAATGTAAGTGTACAAATATTTCGAGATCCCACTCTCAGTGCTTTTGGGTATGTACCCAGAAGTGAAATTGTTGTGCCTTATGCTAATTCTGTTTTTTAATTTAATAAACATTTTGGCAGGGCATGGTGGCACAAGTCTGTAATCTCAGCACTTGGGAGGTGGAGGCAGGAGGATCTTTGTAAGTGTGAGGCCAGCCTGAGCTACATAGTGAATTCAAGGCCAACCTGTACTACATAATTACCCTCAGTACTAATTTCTTCCTTTTTTTTTTGCAGAACCGGGGCTTGAACTCAGGCCCTTGCGCTTGCTAGGGAAGCACTTATTCTACTGCTCAGTACTAATTTCTACAGCAGCTACACCACATACATTTCTAGAAACAGTGTACAAGGATTTCACTTTCTCCACATCCTGCCCAACACTTATTATTTCCTGTTATTGAGTTATTCTGATTATGACCAATCTAATGGATATAAGGAGATATCTCATTGTGTTTTAATTTGCATTTCCATAATTATTGGTGATATTGAAGCAGAGGTCCTTTTTTTTAACTTTTTTTTTTTTTTTAATGTATTTAGTTCAGGGTTTACAGGGTGTCAGTACGTAGATCGGATTCATAGTGATTCTCCTGTTTTCAGCCTCCTGAGCGTGAAGCAGAGGTCCTTCTTTTGGAATTCTATATATATGTGTTCTCGAAAATAGGCTTTTTTGTAAAGTTTCTGTAAGATATATTAGAAGGTTTTTAAAATATATTGAAATTCTTGAGTTCCAGAAATATTTCAAATAGAATGACCTCTTTCTCCTCCTCCTTCCCTCCCCATGCCATCTCCCCCTCTGTCTGTCTCTCTGTCTCTATCTCAATCTCCAGGGTTGGGTATCTAGCTGGATGTCTAGTTCGCGAACTGTATGACAAACAACCAGAGCTGCAGATAAGTGAGCGAGACATCCTCTGTGTTCAGATTGCCGGGCTTTGTCATGATCTTGGTAAGTTGTGTAAATAACTGAACTGGTTATATAAAATCGTAACACGTGAACCTCCTTGTGATTGTGTGTGTGCATGTGCATGTGTGTGTGCGTGTGGTGTTTTTGAGGCCGAATTCACTGTGAAGCCCAGGCTGGACCTGAACCTTGTGGCAGTCCTGCCTGAGTCTCCTGAGTGCTGGGATTATATGCATGTGCTACTTACTGTTCCTGGATACCTTTTTTTTTTTTTTTTTTTTTTTTTTGTGGAACCAGGGATTGAACTGAGGCCCTTGTGCTTGCCAGACAAGCGCTTATTCTACTGACCTATCTCCCTGGCCCCACTGGATACCTTTTTGAAATTTAAAGATTAGATTAGCCAAGAGAAATAAAACATCTTATTTTATAATTCTTCAATTGAACTTAATATGAAATGTGCTCTTACTTCCTAGAATAATTCATAAACACAAAACATTTCTGTTGGGGGCCTGGCCCTAGCTCAGGCCTTTAAGTGGCTGCTTCCACAAAGCTGTCAGCCTCAGGTTGCTGGAGTTCGAACCTCACACCTCTCCCACTGGCCAAAAAGTGCCCTGAAGGCATTCGAGGAACCAAAAAAAAAAAAAAAAAATCCTTATTCCATTTTTATCCTATTAATCAGATTGGAAAGTGTCTCATTGATATGTATTTCTCAATAAAATAAAATTAAAAAGAAAAAAGAAAAGAAACAAAACATTTCTGTTTTATTTTATTATAGCCTTTTTTTTTTTTTTAAAGACACATTTATTCAGCGTCATGATCAGACTATTACATTTAGCAATCAACAGCATGGGTGCAAAAAAAGGTCTACATTAAAACCCTTTGTTGGAATGCTTTACACTTTCCACAGAACAGAAACTAAAATAACCTGTTATACAATTAGTCACAAATACAGTCCTCGAGTTTTTTGCCCATACGCATGAGTATTGTCTAAAACATGTCTTCTTTGTAGCAGCTAGGCCCTGCCACCACTGTGCTTGGCTGAGTTCACAAATCTGTTGTAACCTGTAGCTTCCCTGTCACTTCTCTGGCTCTCCTCTCCTGCTAAACTTTGTTTCCTGGAAGTGTTTAAAACCTTCTGCCACTGCCATAGCTACTGCTGCTGCTGGAGCCACCATAGCCACCTTGATTTCGTGGTTTGGTAAAATATTCGCCTCCACCTCCATAGGGCCCAGAGCTTCTGCCTCCAAAGTTTCCTCCCTTCATGGGTCCAAAATTTGAAGACTGACTGTTGTAATTGCCAAATTCATTATAGCTTCCACCACCTCCATAATTGCTTCCATCATTACCAAATCCATTGTAGCCATCTCCACTGCCACCATATCCACCCCCACCACGGCTGCCACCAAAGCCACCTCGACCACTGAAGTTTCCTCCGCGACCAAAACTGTCATTGCCACCAAAACCTCCTCCACGACCACCACCAAAGTTTCCAGAACCACTTCGACCTCTTTGGCTAGATGAAGCACTAGCCATCTCCTGCTTGGACAGGGCTTTCCTCACTTCACAGTTGTGGCCGTTCACAGTGTGGTATTTTTGAATGACAATCTTATCCACAGAATTATGGTCATCAAAGTTTACAAAAGCAAAGCCTCTCTTTTTTCCACTGCCTCGGTCAGTCATAATTTCAATCACTTCAATTTTTCCATATTGTTCAAAATAATCTCGTAGGTGATGTTCTTCAGTATCTTCTTTAATGCCACCAACAAAGATCTTCTTCACTGTTAAGTGGGCACCTGGTCTTTGAGAATCTTCTCTTGAGACAGCTCTCTTTGGTTCCACAACTCTTCCGTCCACTTTGTGTGGCCTTGCATTCATGGCTGCATCCACCTCCTCCACAGTGGCATAAGTGACAAACCCAAAACCCCTGGAACGTTTGGTGTTCGGGTCTGTCATTACCACGCAGTCTGTGAGTGTTCCCCATTGCTCAAAATGGCTCCTCAGACTCATCAGTTGTTTTAAAGCTCAGCCCTCCAATGAAGAGCTTCCGTAGCTGTTCAGGCTCCTTGGGAGACTCTGACTTAGACATGACGGCAGTCGGAAGAGAGCCTGATGATGCTTCCTCCGCGGTGTCCACCAGCAGAAAGCTTTATTATAGTCTTTTAGTGAATTTCCCATTTTACATATTTTTGCTGCAGTTATATAAAAGGGCTTTCTTAAACTGTTTGGTGGGGCATACCTATAATAGTTTTCTGAGAGGCTTAAGAGGATCTTGTGTTCAAGTTTCAATAGGTTCAATCAGGTTCAATCCCCACTTCTGGAAAAAAGAAAAAGGCTTTCTGATGATGAATTTTTCTTACTGTTGTGTTTAGGATAATATGGATTTAATTTTTCTTTTATCTTTATGGTAACTGAAATTGTTATCGTTCCTTTATTTTGTCAAATCCATTCTTCTCACTCCTAGAACAGATTTGGATGTGAGGCTAAACCACAGTGTAACCCAGTACACTAAAATATGCAAGATTGAAGCCAACATGGATATCTTTATTTAGACTAGGTGTGGCCTGGCTAAGGGTGAAAAATCATTGGCCACAGAGGAAGAGGATATGCTTTATAGGGGAGTTTAAATGGATGAGGTTCCCACCAAGGAAGATGGAAAATTTTGAGTTTGTCAGGAGTCATTATTGAGTCTGGTGGGAAGTGCAGGATGACAGTGGCATTTGCTGACTTACAGAGTGGCATTCTATAGACTTACCGGGTTTCCTGTAAGCTTCAGAACCAATCTGATAAGCAGAGTTATTTTGGTCTCTCGGCTGGGTAAGAGGGCTTCCTGCTCAAACAGAGGAGTCTATAAAGCTTCTTCCCCTTCAAGCTGGGTGGGGTCTAATGTGGGGGACCTAACATTGGAGGCTTCCTTTTCTTCTCTAACCCATATGAGACCTTGATCTCATCTAGGTCTAAAATCTGAGAAGAATATTCTCCTTTCTCTTTGGCCAAGAAATAGAAAAGGGACTGTTCTTGACTTCTTTAATCACAGGGGAGGCTGTGTGTGCATGTTTCAAGAATAGCCAGGTACTTTAAGGGACAGAGTACTCTTTATGTGTCCCCCCTGGACATTTCAGGGGGACCATCACTGTTGAGAAGATGGGGGGCTGGGGAGATGGCTCAGTGGAATAAGCGCTTCCCTGGCAAGCTCAAGGGCCTGAGTTCAATCCCCGGTTCTGCAAAAAAAAAAAAAAAAAATGAACTCTAGAAGATGGGGGTATGTATATATGTATCTACGTATATATATTTAAAATTGGGAATCAAACCCAGTGTTCTTACATATCCAGGGCACTCATTCTTCTACTCGAGCTACATGTCTAGTCCTAAAATTACCTTTTAATTCATTGTGGTTCATGGGTTGAACCTCAGGAAAACTAAGGTATAGCCCCAGCCCTTTAAAAAAAATTGTTTTAATGTATTTTCATACAGATTCTACAGGGTCTCACTACATCAGATTCACAGTGATCCTCCTGTTTTCAGCCTCCCAAGCGCTGGCATTACAGGCGCGCACCACCATGCCTAGTCTCATTCACCGTCTCAGCGCACCCCGGGGGCAGAGCTGACACAGCATACCCCAGTCACTGCAAGCCTGGGATCAAACCCTGGTCACTGTGCCTGCCTAAGTAGGTGCTCTAGTCCACTGAGCTATCTGGCCGGTGCCCAGCCCTTTTAAAATTTTAAAATTTTATTTGGGGACCAGTGACATATCTCAGCAGACCTGGGTTTGATCCTGAGCACCACAGGCTGTGCTGGCCCTACACCTGGGCACACTGAGCCAGCGACCAAGTCCAAATCGCAGGGTTGGGGAGGCTAAAAACAGGAGGACCACTACAAGTCTGAGCTGCATAGTGAGACCCTATACCAAATACATAAAAAATAAAATAAAATTTTATTTGGGAAAGAGTCTTGTTTAGTTGCCCAGGTTGGTCTCAAATCTGCAGTCATCTTGCTTCAGTCATTTGAGTAAGGGGATTGTAGATGTGTGCTGCGACACCTGGCAGAGATTTTATTTTTTTGGTTTTTGGGGCTTTTTGGTATTATAGGTATGTGAACCCAGGCCTTATGCATGGTTGGCAAGCACTGTGCTACTATGCTATGTCCCCAGCCCTTAGCATTGATTTTATTGTGAAAAAAATAACAGAAAATTCTCAACCTTATTTTTAGTTAACATGAAACTGTCCTTTTGACTTATTGTGCTTTAACATAGGAAGGTAGAACCTGTCCCATTTTGTGATTTATCAATTATTGGTTTCTGTTAATATTTAAATTAAACTAAAAAGATTACACTATCTTTGGCCTTTTTAAGACAGTTTCACTATGCAGTTCAGGCTGACCTTGAACTCACTGTATCCCCAACCCTCTTGAGCTCACTGCATAGCCCAGGCTGGTATCAAACTTGAAATGATCCTCCTGCCTCACTCTTGGGAGTGCTGGGATTATAGGCATGTACCACCATGCTTGGCAAAAGATTTCTTAAATAATTGAGTTTTAGGGGCTGAGGCGATAGCTCAATGGTATAAGCACCTGCCTGGCAAGCTCAAAGTCCTGAGTTCGATCCCCAGTATCACACACACAGAAAAAGAATTTTACTAATTTATAAACTTTTTTTTTTAATGCTGCTTTTGTTTTTAAGGTCACGGGCCATTTTCTCATATGTTTGATGGAAGATTTATCCCACTTGCTCGACCAGAGGTGAAATGGACGGTATGTGTTGATACATTCAATAGTTAATGAAAAGACCGTTTAAATTATCTGTTTGGTTCCTGGCTGTGCTTCAAAATGCTTCCCTGTTGTACATTTCAGAGTGCTTTCATTCATGTCTATGTGTACTTTCTGTTGATCTTCACAGTAGTCAAAAAGGGAGGGGTTATAGCTCAGCAGTATAGCTGCCTGGGCAGTACTTGAGGTCATGAATTCTATTCCTGGTACATTCCCATTCCACCCCCCCCCCAACAGAAGAAGCTATTATAATAGTCAATAAAAAAAGAATCATTATCTCACTTTTTTTTTTTTTTTTTTTTTTTTCCCATGCAACTGCGGCCACATGAGACTTCAACTGCAGGGCTGCATCTCCGGCCCACATTGGCCTCGCTCTTTTTTTTTTTTTTTTTTTTTGCCTTTCTGAGACAGGGTCTTGCTATGTAGTTCAGGCTAGCATTGAGCTAACTTCATAGCCCAGGCTGATTTTCAACTTGCATTGATCTTCCTGCTTCAACCTCCCAAGTTGTAGGACTGCAGGTATGCACCACCACATCAATATCTCACTTTATAAAGAAAAGGAACTTGAAATGTGCTGAAGCATATTGATTTGTCAGACATCACAAAGCTGTTAATGGGTAGAGCCAATATTAGAAATCAAGCCAGCCGGGACTGGGGAGTTGGCTCAGTAGAATAAGCGCTTCTCTGGCAAGCGCAAGGGCCTGAGTTCAATCCCTAGTTCCGCCAAAAAAAAAAAAAAAAAAAGGAAATCAAGCCAGCCAAATAGCTTAGTGGGTTAAAGCGCCTGCAACGAGGCACAGGGGCTGGGGGTTTGATCCTAAAATGAAAGAAATCAGGTCTTTTAGGGCTGGCCAAATAGCTGCTTAGGCAGAACACAGCGGCCACAGTGGCCAAGGTTTGATCCCCAGTCTGCCTTGCCAGCCCCACCCCTGGGACACACTGAGACAGCGATTGAGACTGGGCATAGTGGGGCTGGGGAGATGGCTCACTAGAATAAATGCATCCCTGGCAAGCTCAAGGGCCTGAGTTAAATCCCCGGTTCCACAAAAAAAAAAAAAGAAAAGAACAGGAGAGAGAG